CCCCAAAACCCCAAAACCCCAAAACCCCAAAACCCCAATTTTAGGATGATTAATTGGAAGATTTTTAATGGATTTCTGGAAAATAGGGCTAAGCAATCCTTGCAGGCTTGCTTCTTCTGTTGGGAGCTCTTGAGTTTACTGGGCCAGTGTAGTTGTTCCTGGCAGGGAGTCTGTTAGCTTGGTCTCTGTTGTCGTTTGATGGGAGAGCGATGGCTGGGCCTGAATCTCTGTTGTTAGGGATGTCAAGTCTGTGTCCTGTGTCTGCAGGTCTCAATCTTTCGATATGAGTTGGAGGTTCTCTACTCATATTTACTGGCATATCTGGACCTTTAAGTCTATCTGAGACATAGTGGCCTCTTTTTCTTTCATCCATATAAGAAGAATCACCATATCCATAATCAGTTTTGCTTCTATGATATTGCTTCGGAGCACCAGATCCAAATGGTAAGGCTTTGGGACCAGAATTTAGTCCAAACCTCTTCGCTGCAGAGTCCCATTCTCTATCAAAATCTGGGGCATCATCTTCTTTCATATTTTTGTAATAATTATATGAGTTCTTTGCACCAGTGCCTTTTTCATTTTCATAGACTACCTTTCTTCCTTTACCTTGATACATTCTCTCAACAGCAGCTTTCTCATACCCAGTTTGGGAATTTTGGTACATTTGTTTTCTTTCTAGAATTTCTGGCTTTTTGCTTCCACCATAGACTCCATTTGTTTTAGTTTGGTAGCTTTCTTTGACTGGTCTTCCATCAGGGCCCATTTTTGTAGAACTGACGAACTTCTGTTGCATAAATTTGCCTTTACCACCTGCTGAGCCAAAGGTATCCATATTTCCTCTAAATTATAAAGCATGCTTAGAATACCTCATCATGGAATTGGCACTCTCCATCATCTGGTTCATCATCGAGTTCGCTTTCGAGAAGGAGTTTTTAAACATAGAATCTAAATTATAAGAAACTTGGAAGAAGAAGGGTGCTTACCAATACCACTATCACTGAAGAAAGGGTCGTTCTTCATTAAGCTGTCCATCTCTATATATCATTTAGTTCACCAGGAATTTAATTTTATGTAAAGATCGACAAACTTTCAATGATTCTAGAAGATTCTGGATCGGCCAAAAGTGAAAGAGCCTCACTTATAATTTTTATAAACAATCTAGGTCTGAGTTTTAAAGAAATTAAGAGTCTAGCAAGTTACTTACTGCCAAAACTAGAGCCAAACATATCCTTATGCATGTTGTCAAATTCTTTCATGGTGTTCTGATGCATGCCCATTAGTTCTCCAAAGATCCCATCCCCGCTGGATGGGACCATGCCTCCGTGCCTTTGTTGTCTCCTGGAATCTCTTTTGGCTCTTGGCTGCAGAGAGGTACCTCTTGTGGGTCTGGGTTCAAAATCTCTGTTGTATGGTAAGCTAGCTCTATATTGGTGTTAATTATTCTGTTGAAAACGAAGAGTGTCTTACAATTCACCGTAATGGTTGCTTCCACGACTCATAAGAAAATATTTATTATTTTATCAACAGAGCTTAAAGAATTAGGGGTTTTGGGGTTTTGGGGTTTTGGGGTTTTGGGGTTTTGGGG